GAAAAATGGGCGTTTTTCGCTCACAGTCGGGAACCCCGATTGTCATCCAAACACGCCCACTTTTTCTAGATTTTTCGTCTTTTTTTGTGCGCTTAAACGCGTTTTCGAAAAAGTTTGTCTGCTTGGGTACTGGGTGTATGACGAAGATCAAAACAACGGGATTATGTAAAAGCAAAACATAAGGAAAAATTTTGAGTGCTCTAAGACCATACAAAAGTGTTCAATTCAGTGGTTGATGAAAGTTCGTCTGTCGTAGGTCACATAAGATTAAAAGTCAGATCCAGATTAACACCACCGAGCTACTAGAACTCGGTTTAAGCGACCCTCGTCATTGGTCAGAGAATCAGATTGGTGAAACATGTCGCGTCTCTAAAGTAGAGGGGAAAATTTTGGTACGCTTGTATACCACTTACCTTCATTTGCCGTCTGAATCCAGTTATTGATACTAAATCGCTAAGTTAGTGTGTGCAAAGTTATCAGTAAATAAATCGAACTATCAGTATAAAATTTCGTGTTCGGTAACTATCATGTCTGCTCAGTAAATTAATAATTTGTGTGTGTGAGATGGAGTGGAGAGTATGGAGTTTGACTGTGGAGTGAGCTCAAATACGGGGGTGAGGGTGAGCCGTGGAAAAACCACTTTGGAATCGTTAAATCGTCAGATCTATACAAGATTCTTAAATCTATGTCGAGAAATTTTCATTTTTTCATTCTTGTGATTAAAGATTGTAGTATATATGTAAAGTATTGTTTTCTTTCATACTGGAATATGTAGCGTCTTTAATCTGAACAATTCAATAGTGAAGCTGAAATTTCTCAAAAATATATTTTAAATTTTTATATGTGTCTAATGATTAGCGGTTTCGGTTCCACATGATATTTTGAGAATCGGACCGGAATCGCTTTTTCTCATTTGTAGTACCGGAACTGGAACCGCAGTTCCGGGTAATTTACGCGGTCGCTAGGAAGGCACACACCCAGATCTTTAATACTAAATCTTTTTAGATTAATTACTGAGCTTTTCAAACACTGAGCTAAAAACACTGAGCATTCGTTATAAAATACTGAGCAGTTAAATACATGCCTAAAAGAATTAGACCACAGCGTTTTGTTTAGACCAAAATTTTTAAAAAACAATACACTCTCTGTGAGTATCAGCCTTATACACATGCATGACAGAGATCATATTACTGTTGATTTTTAAATAAAACAATTGTTGGTTAATCTTATATAAGGGTGAATATAGCAAGCCTGAATCCTATACTATTGTCGGTTAAAAAGACTGATAGTATTAGTCATTAAGTTAATTATTGCCAATACTCTTTGTCTTCATTATGATGAGCGAAGATTGCACAATACAACACCAAAATGTTAGACTTTGTTAAAGATATCATGTGTTTCTATAATCCTTTAGGCGGTGGCCACGGTCGTACACATCGTGAAGATGCCCGAAATAATAAATATACAGTAATCACTGATCATTTATTAGCAGATAAACTATTTCAACGTGTATCACCACTGCTTCCCCAAACACTTGAGTGGATGTCGGATAATTGTTATTTTACTAAAGCTGTTGGAGGACGAGAATGGTCACTTGCGGGTTGTGTTGATCGGATGCGACTTTTTAAATATGAAAAGGATGAAGAATACCCCGAGCATATGGACGGTAGTTACAGTCGAACAATTACGTATAATAATGAATCTCAAAAATCATTTAAACAGCATTCCTTTTTAACATTACTGATCTATTTGAATGACGGGTTTCGGGGTGGTGAAACAAAATTTTACCCTGATAAACAACATTGTCGATTTCTTCGAGATATTGAACAAAAACAAGCCGTTCATTTAATTCAACCAAAACAAGGAATGGCCCTAATTAATATCCATAACATTCTTCACGAAGGTTCAAAAGTTCAATCAGGTGTTAAATATGTATTAAGAACAGACATCCTATATCAAAAACCAATGGAATTGCATTCAAAAATTGAAAAGTATTCACAAAAAAATACTAAAGACACTGTTATTATTAGTGACTGGGAAAAACATTTTGAGCCGTCATGTAAAATGTATCATGATTAAAAGTTAAAATAAAATCAATAAATAAAACCACCCCGTTCAGATTATTAGAAATTAAGCGATCGTTTAAGCACATTAAGATTAGCGAAAAACAGCACTATTTTGACATTTTCACCATCAAAATTGTATTTTTCCATAAAACCCAAGGTGATATTTGAAATAAGCATCGGTCAGGTAAGGAAAAAGTTCCGTCGTCGATTTTCCACGCTTCGGGCGTTGTATCGGATTTCCTACGAATCCCAGGACTGGCACCCAGTGACGATTGGTAGCCTTCAAGACGGATGAACTATGCGTAATCGGCCACGCTGCATCTCGTGGCAATATTTGTTTTTAGAAAAGTTTTAAAATTCTACCGAAAAGCGAGTTTTACGAAAATTTGTGTTTTCAGGGTGTTTTCACCTAATATTAAAAAATTCGCTAATCACTCAGTAACAAAAGGTTTTCTGAAAAACCGAGCTCCAAAACTATGCCTTTTCTAATTTTTCGATTGTACGATCAGGTTTAACGGAGGAAATCAACCATATCCTGAAAATTTTGAAGTCGTTCTGATGTTTACTGAGTGATTAGCGAATTTTTTAATAATAGGTGTAAACAGCCTAAAAATACAAATTTTCGTAAAACTCCCTTTTCGGTAGAATTTTAAAACTTTTCTAAAAACAAATATTGCCACGAGGCGCAGCGTGGTCGATTACGCATAGTTCATCCGTCTTGAAGGCTACCAATCGTCACTGGGTGCCAGTCCTGGGATTCGTAGGAAATCCGATATAACGCCCGAAGCGTGGAAAATCAAGGTTTCACTTGACTCTCAATTTGAAAACGACACTCTGGGCTATCAGCCTGTGAAAACAAATCAATACAATCCTATTAGAAAATTTTTACACGCGAGCTAATTTTCCAAAGATCTCCTGGAAAACCTGTTCCAGAAAGCTCTTCTGGGAAAATTTTTGGTTATGAAAACATGTCCGCAAGTCTCCTCTTTCGAATGGTGAAAATTGAAGCTATTTATCTTTTTCCTATTGAAAGTTATTCAAAAAACAGTCATATACCATTCTTTTGTTGGATGGACAATAGTTACAACTATCGATTTATCGCCCGATAATCGATCGATTTAACTAATGCTAGTTGCACATGCAGATACATCTAGTTAAAACTCCCTTCTCTAAATGAATGTGTGAAAAACCATGGTTTTCTGGAAACCCTACTTCTGGTACGTGTAAAATTATTTTGAGTTAGCCATAAGAAAGTGCATCGCTCAAAACCCTTAAGTACCGAGATTTAACAAAATCCGTGCTGCCAATCTTGAGATAGGATTTTCATGTTACACGCCTAATAACATAAAATAAGAATTTCGACCAAGAACACGTTTAAATGTTATCTAAAAGAACAGTGTCAGTCCGAAGATCACCGAACAGTCAAAATGGATGAAAAATTGATCTGAGTATTTCACATGCAATTTAATCTTAAAGTGTTAGTAACAGTATTATTTTTTTTGGTGTGAAATCAAAGAAGAAAGTATTCCGCAGACTACGCTGAGTTCGAAAATGAATATGTACCATCGATATGAAAATACGATTCTCAAATCATGTCATTTAAAAGATAATAAAATACTGGCAATACGAGAAAAGAAGTCTAAGTGCAAGCGCTTAGCTTTCCGAAGCAATCGTTTTTGGTCAGGATAGTGCGTTTCTCGAAGTCACTGGCGCACTGTGTTTCTTTTCAGTTCTGCTTATTTCAATTGTTCACAAGAAAAATAACTAAAAGTCATAGAGCTTTTTTATTTCAATAAAAGAAAAAGTTGGAAATCAGTCATCCTGTAGAATGACTGAAGTTGTGCAATAACTCAATGTTAATAACAGTTTTTTAGAAAATGAGTTTTCTCTCGTTTTTGGTGTAATTTTTTTCTTTTCAGAATGTAAGCGAGAAGTAAGAACTGAGAAGTATCGTAGTAACGGCTTTCTTGGTTAAAAGAAAAAAAAATGTAAGGTGTTTCGATACAGAATATAAAACATGCATTAATTTGACATCTGCAGAACAATTTTTAGTTTTATTCTTCAAACTTCTTCGTAACTTCTTCTGCAACAAACCTTCGTAGTGCTACATGCAAAGGAATTATTATTCTAGACAATTATACCTTTTCTTTATTCTCTTTAGACGCAACTGTTACACTTAAAAAATAACTGTTCGCTCACAGATCTCTATAAATATTAATATCATAGCCTATTTTAGTCCATCTTATTGGTTATATCGCCTCGTTTCCAAGTACTACTACGTGTCACTCTTTCAATTTAAATTTGCTCTTTCATATTCATATTTTATACGCTGTGATTTTGTATATAAAGTAAGCACGTATAACGTCTTATTTTGGAGATATTTGTCTCTGAATGTGAGTGTCCAACTGAAAAGAAAGCCCTTTCTATATATCGAAGAGATGGTACTCCTCTCAAATAAAGTACATTTTAATGCTTAAGTTCTGGAAAAAGTTTTTTGACTAACATGACTTTCCGATTTTTGTAACCGAGTCTTACTCTGAGTCAGCTGTTCATTGCAATGCGTCGGAAACGGGTTCAAGGAGCATTCCGATCTGTCAGCCGTTATTTCGCTAGGATGGTATGATTGTTGTACTACATGTAATTTAGAACTGTTCCAGAAATATTTGGCTTGTTTTGAAATTGTATATATGTTCAACATGTAAAGTAATTTTTCTCTTCAAGAAAAAAATATGAAATTTTTTTCTCTCAGATACACGAAACTTTTGTAAAAAAGGTTAGTATTGAACTTCATATTAAATTAATTATTATTTATAATTATTAATTATTAAACTTCATTATTAGATAACCGAGGATACCTGCTGTCAGAATCTATGACAGTAAGACCTTCATCGACGGTTTCTGCAAACTTTTTAAGGTTTTTCCAGGAAGCGCTGAAAAGTGACTTTTTCACTAACTGTATGTTATCGGTACAAAATCGAGAGAAAAGTAGTTGTAAAGTGACTAGGTTGTAGAGCGAACATTTTTGATCAAAATGAGACCTCTACCAACGCTAGACAATGATCCAGTCAAAAGTTTTTTTTTAGAATTTTAAATAGAAGCCATAAAATATACATCGTACACTAGCGCCACTTTATGTCAAAAGCGAACTTCGTGGTCATACGACGTTGTAGCTGCAAAAGTTTGTCGTAATGGAGAGATTTAAAGAGCTAGGATTGGTCTTAAACAGAAGCTAACACACGTGGTTAGAGGTTCATACAGCACGATTTTTGATATTCAATCTGAATTTGCGGTTAGAAAAACATCTTTGTGCAAGTTAATCAAATTTTCTGGATTAGTATTGGACTTTTGACGCTGATCATTATTCTGAAAAGTAAATATCAAAACCCAGCCTCTACTAGCCTCTAGCTACATGGGCTTTCGTCATTTTGAGACCCTCATTAGCTCTCCACAAGACTTCATTACCGAGAAATCTCGCAGGTAAGAACAGTCCCATTTTGACCCCTAATTGAGTGACATTTCGGGAACCGTAATAGATAACGTCGCGAAAATTTTGCGAAAAGAGTACAAACATAAGATGAACGTTCTTTGAAAGTTCCAGATCGGACTTTTAAATACGTTTCTGACGGGGGAGGGGGTCTTAAGAGCATTCCCACATCAAAAAAATTTTCAGAAAATTTTTTTATAATAAGGTATCGCTACGAAAATACTTTAGAGCTCATTTATCATAAATTTCGAAAAATCAGGATGCGAAATAGTGGTTTATATTCGATTTTATCTAGAAATAAACAAAATAGTGGGAACAGCTTCGTTTATAAGAAAACAGCTTGCTCTAGGTCTTGACAAGGTCGTATTTATGGAATTTTTCAATTGGGAATTTTAGAAAAATTTCAAAAGCCAAAAAACCCTGTAAAGACCGCAGAAGTATCTTATAATATTTTATTTTTAAGCAGGGCAGATGGGAAAATTGGGCACTGCTTCCTGCCAGTATGTAGAGTAAGCTGTTTTCTGATAAATAAAATTATTCTCACTCTTATCTACCTCTAAAAAAATTCGAATAAAAAACTCTATATCGCATCTTGGTGTTTCAAAATCTAATTCAGGGACGGTATTTTCGATGGCTATAAAGATTTTGGAAAAAGCAAAGAATTTTAGTGGTTTTTGAACATTTTGTAAAAGCCGGTAACAATGTTTCGTATAACTCCATGCTTCTGATAAAGATTTGGTCTTAATGCGGAAAGACGGATAAGAATATTTAAAATGTTTCTTTTCAAACTAGCCGCTTGAAAACTGGCCCGTTTTGCTATACTAAAAGCGAAATATTTCAGAGGTGAATCGATTTGTTGCTACTGATTCCACGTATGACACTGAGAAATTTAGATCATCCTTTTAGAAAGATCAAGATACTGTTTAAAATTTTATATATTATAGATTTAACTGTCAGAGTATTTACACCAAGACAGAAACGCAAAATAAGAGAATTCAAACATTTTCTCTTTAAACGAATATAAATGTCTTCTGATAAACATGTGATGTTATCCTATCAATGGGATAATCAAGCACTTGTAACAGATGTTTATCAACGTCTTCGTGCACACAATATTCCATTATGGATGGATACGCAAGGTGGAATGAAAGGTCATTTAAGCACAAGGTAAATCGGATAGCATATAACATCAAAATATATTGTTTTTGAATTATTGCTTTTATTAAGTATGGCAGAAGGTGTAGAAAATGCAGCAGTTCTATGTTGTTTTCTTACACCGAAATATCAAGATAGTGTTGCATGTAAAGATGAATTAACATATGCCAAAGAACAACGTGTGTCTATTATACCAATACGTTTATTGAAGGATTGGAAACCAACTGGTTGGTTAGGTTTTTCTATAACAGGACAAAAATGGATTGATTTTCGTGATGTTGCTACAAATATGGATTTAAGAATTAATCAATTAATTGCCGAAATTCAAATGGTTGCAGGAAATAAACTAAGTTCTATTCAAGGTATAAATCTTGTGCATAACGCAGTGGGGAGCAAAGATGATAACAAAGCTGATCATGATTCAGGTTAGTATTGATGAGTCGTATGTGAACTACTGAGGCTAGACATTAACTTCTCTGGTTCTATGCTACAGAACTGCACTGATCTTCAATATAACATCTGGTATTTTGTATTTTCTAGTTTTTATTTGTCATGAAGAAGAACAAAAACAAAATGAACAAAATTCTCTTATCCTGACCGAGCAAGAAATCGAAAGTAAGTAAAATACGGCTTCTTTAGAAAAAGTAACTGTCGACATATATTAACACAACAGTAATAACAACATGATCAAGTTCTCATAAAGAAAGCGGTGCGTATTCTCCAAGTAAAGCATCATAATGTAAAGAGAAATCGTAAGTGTTGAAATTTTATAGAAAATATGTGATACACCTTCCAAAATCATACATCGTCCAAAATTTAGATTTTGAAATTATAGATATTATAACATAAATTTGCAAAAACCATTTTCTGGCAGTGTCGTACAGGTACGAGTCCTTGACCGAGCTCCTGTTTAGGCATGGGACGGACCGAGTATCTCGGTATTCGGGACTCGTTTTAGTCTCGGTATTCGGGGACGCGGTCTGGTCTCGGCATTCGGGATTTAGTCTAGTCTCGGGATTCGATTCGTATCGGGTGTTAACTAGTTTTATTTTATATTTTTTTCTGCATACGGAAAATACATCTATCATCAGTGAGAGTCGTTGATCACAGATCACGTAATGCATTTCTTGATCAGAACGGATTGTATTGCTGTTATATTTTCTCCTATTCGTATCAATCACAAAGTTTGCAGCTTTTTTCACTTCAGTCCGAATTTATAATGAGAGTACATTTTGAACGTCGTTCGAACCTCATGCGATATAATACGTGTTGAGAGGATCGGAGTGTTATTACGCCACCGAGTCTCGAATATCGAGACTAGAACGAGTCCCGAATACCGAGAGCAGAACGAACCCCGAGTATCGTACCCGAATCGTCGAGCAAGATTCGGTTTCGCTACATGCCTACTCCTGTTGATGTATTATATGGAGTTGGAAGATTGAAAAGGAAGCATTTTTTTTTTTACATAGGCAATAGATATCACATAAATCAGCGTCAAACTATTATCGTTTTCAAAATATAATGCCCATGAGTGTTTTTTAAATAGCTGCAGAACGAAACATGACGAAAAGTTCGGGTGTTCACTGTTTTCAAGCCAAGACCTGGACGCATCTTTTCATAAACAAAATGAATTTCAGTATCTTTTTTCCCTAGGAATTAATTCACCACGCTGAACATGATGATATTTGTTTCTTTGAAAAAATTCAAAAGCCGAGTGAAAACCTATAGTGGATGAGATAACCCATTTTGGGCTATTCTCACCGAAAAGTAAAAATATCTCATATTCACGTCAAAATTGATCACAACGGCTGTAAAACTACCGAAATATATAATTTGGTCTACTGTCCGTATGATCTAGCATGAAACCTAGAAAAAGTTTCGAGAAACGATTTTGATTTTCCAACTGGATTTCCCGAAAAACTTGGAACCAAAGATCTTTTTTCTTATTTTTCTTATCCCAGAATCACGCGTATAATACAATACAGTGTATGTTCTGAAGGTTCCAAATCGTTGTAAGCAATTCTAACGGACATAGTTATGAAATTCTTAGTTTTCGGTGAGAATAGCTCAAAGTGGGTTATCTCACCTATTATAGGTTTTCAATTAGCTTTTGAATTTTTCTCCAAGAAACCAATATCGTCGCAAGACTTAGCGTGGCAGATTACCTATGTTCCGTCTAGTCTAGGGATCAAACAGTTTTAAGTTAACAAGAACGCGAACTGCTACCAGTTCTTTCCAATATCATCTGTTCTCGCCAGATTGAAATAAAAGTGGTAAACCTATTTACACTGACTTTGTGTAGTGTGCCAGAGGTGATCGTGTGTTTAGTTGACTACAGCAAGTCAATCGATATTATTTTATTTTGAATTCTTGAAAAGAACTGGTAGCCAGTTCCCGTTCAACAGAAACTGAACTAGTGACCAGTTCTTTCCACTCGTTCTTAGAAACTGGAACTATCTCACCACTAATCTACTCTTCGAGCTACCAAAAGCCACTAGATACCAGTCGGCGAGCTCGAATGGAATTCGATACCACATCTAAACCGTTGAAAATCAAGGTCTCGGTTGATTGCCATTTCAAGAGTACACTTTGCACTATCTATCCATGAACAAAGGCAATATATTCTCACTTTAATTTCTGGAGAACTGAATGGCTTTTCCAGAGATTCTCAAAGGACCTACCTTTGAAAAAGATTTTGAAATTCATTTTGTTAAAGAAAACATGCGTCAAGGCTTTGGCTTCAAAACAGTGAAAACTCGAACTCTTCGTCATATTTCGTTCTGCGTCTATTTAAAAAATACTCGTGGGCATTATATTTTGAAAACGATAATCGTAAAAATTCATCTTTTCGTTATTAACCCTTTACACCCCATAGCGGTTCCAGAAGAGCCACTGATAAAAACACCAAAGAAATAGAGTATTGGCCTCTACAATATGCCAATGGTATGGGCAGATCGATCAGGCGCACTACCTTTTGTGC